AGGAAGGGTCCTCAGTGTAAGGGAGTTGTTCAATCCAGTCAGATGACTGACCCAAGGCCACTTAGGTTGCTTCATAGCTGAATAGGGATATGAATCCAGGCATTTCCATTGTGATGCTGTCTCCACAGTATGGCACTAGGTCTGGTACAACACCTGATGCTTACAGAATATAGCAAAGGGAAAAGTGTGAGGACGGTACCTGGTTTTTTAACACATGATTAAATAAAGAGCTAGGGATGCATTAAAGACGCACCACATGTACGGAGGCCACTGTGATTCTCCATAGATAAGCTGAAGGTAGCATAGCATAATTCAACAGAAGTCCAGTGGTACCATAACAACTTCCCTTCAAATGAGCTTACAGTTGTATGTTCAGTGCAGAGTAAGATCTACAACAGCTAATTGTTGAGCTTTGTTAACCTCATTTTGGCTTTATTTATGTTTCCTGGGCTTCTTGTATTGTATCCCAAAATGGTAGCATTGGAAGCTCGTCAGAGCGGTGTTTTGTGTACCTGTTTTGAGAAAAAAAATGTATCTCTTCAGTGATGTCACCTTCTTATGCAGACAATACAAGTATTATCTGGAGTATGCAGCCTTCCTGTAAATTCACTACTAGTTGAATTTAGATGAAGAGTTAAAACTGACATGAGAGGAACTCCACTGATGAGCTATTTTGCTTTTCTAGTCTTTAGAGGTCAAGCTAACAGGAATTTAATGTTATCTTACAGATAAACAATGTCATCCTTTCAAGAAGTTCCATCATCAAGCAGTGCCCTGCAGACTTCGAATTTTGCACACGTAATCTTTCAAAATGTAGAAAAAAGTTACCTTCCTAATGTGCACCTTGAATGCCATTACACTTTGACTCCATATATACGCCCCCATCAAAAGGACTGGGTTGGTATTTTCAAGGTAAGAAATCTTGTAGCATGTTCCAATGTAAGTCCTATTTTTTCTGCTACTGGTTTTAAATTAAAAGTAGAAGGTGCTCCCCTGTGAGATGGTATAAAGTGGTGGAGACATTCTTCTACTTTATGAACAAAGATAGTTATGTGGCCATTTTACTTTATTATTGTACCCAAATTTCTATCTTTTTGATAGTCTTTAAGGTGCTACTGGACTCTCGCTCTTTTCTACAACTCTTGCATGTGAAACAAAAATCTGCCTGTCCTCCAAAACTATATAAGAGCCTGCTGCATTGAAGGTCCATCTAGTCCAGCGCTCTGTATCCTGTGGGGCCAACCAGATGCCCCAGAGGCCTGCAAGAAGTGTATGGAGGCTAAAAATTTCCCATTTCTCCCATCCAAGTTACCGCTGTTCAATTTACTGGTCATAGGTAATTGCTACTAGACCCAGCCTTCGAGAACTTGTCTAATCCCCTTTTAAAACCATCTAAACTAGCAGCTTCTTCTATATCTAAAATGCTCTATCAAGGTATAAAATACCAAATCCAACATTCTGCTTCCAGTTGAAGAACACTCCAATGTCCCAGGATAGCTTAAGAACTTAACTGGAGAAAAGGGAGCACATTTCGGACCCCAGCTATCTCCTGAATTAGAAGTAGTTAGTGCGATAGAATGAAAGTTTCTTCTGTAGCTATAAAATGGGGAGCACTGGGTGTTGGTGGATATGACTATTCTTGGTTTCAGATTGATTGTGCTGGACACCATATTAGAGTGTATCAAATTTTCATTGTGAAGGCTTCCGGTTTTTGGTGACCTGAATGCTTTGGAGCTCCGGGGACGCGATCCGTGACCCGGCGGATGGGAAGGGGTGCAATTGTCCGCACCATGCCTGGGGCCCCTGCAGGGAGCCCTCAGCCATGGAGCGTGAGAGGTGCCGCTCCCAGGGCATGCTGCCGAGGGACTGAGAGACCTCTGTGCTCCGACAGTCCCGCCGCCATGGATCCAGCAATGGTGATAGGGGCGCACACTGGGACAAGCAAACAGTGATCAAGCGAAACCCTTACCTCAGCATGATCTACAACAAAGTGTGAGTCTTTCTTGTTAAAGCAAAACATCCGGATAAACATCCAAGCGAAAATACCCCCCCCCCCCGATAAGCGGTGCGGAGGATTCACTCCGTGGTTAAACAAAAGCCGATTCCAGTGCATTTTATGGGGGGGTCAGGACTATAAGCAAATAAAAACTAATGTAAAGAACATTTGAGAGAAAACGGCATAAACTTTCAAACAATAGAGACTTTTGAAACTTTTCTGAAAAGTAAACAACTAAAAGATGGCAGGGAGGAGAGTTGTGCCGAAAATAAAATCTTCTTCAAGAAACGGCAGCCCAGCCACTCCAGTCACGTGACCGGAAGTAGCTACAGACCTTCCTGGTATGATAGCAGTGGCATTGTGACCTCTGCTGGACCAATTGACAACTTTGAACCAGAATTTTGCAACTCAACAAAGCCAGATGGAAGACACTAAGCAGAAGACAGAGCAAACAGCAACAGCAGTTAAGGAAGTTGATGCCAAAGCTAATAAGCTTCAAAAGCATGTAGACAAAGTGGAAAAAAAGAGAATCTCCGATGAACTTCAACTTTTACAGCTACAAATGGAAAAGTCAAACTATGTTTTGAGATTCCAAGGAGTTCCAGAGATTAAAGGGGAAGACCTTAAAAAGACTTGGGACCGGTTGCAGATTTGGAAGCGGATTTTCTTCAAAGCAAGATTGATATGGCCTACAGGACATATTAAGAATATATATATAAAAAATAATCTGCCCGGTAAAATTTATGTGAAGTTCTCCAAAAGGCATATCAGACCAGATACTTAAAGCGACTAATGGAACTACCTTAAAAATCAAAGACAGAGAAATCTAAGTATTTTTTTTTTATAATTTTTTATTGGTTTTCTACACCAACATTAAAGAACATACACATACAGACATTAACCAATACCCTTCACCCACAATAATCTCCATTATTTCATTCCGTTTCACAATTAGTCAAACATTACCTTAAGAAACTCATTAACACCAATAAACCTTTCAAGGCATACATCTGCGGCCACCCCCCTCATTCCAAATCACCTTTGCCACATATATTTAATTGTGCTCTTAAGAAAAACAAAAAACTAAATTACCTTTCATTCAGTTAAATAAACATATATAATTCATATATAATTCATAAATCATAATTATCTGCTGTTCAGATTTTCATATCATGGAGATTCCCTCTTAACTTCGGTGTCATCCTATGTCTTTATCTTAAGGCCTGACTTCAACAATTAATAAAAAAGAAAAGAAAAAAAAATTATGATGGAATTCATAGTCTTCTACTTCATAACTTGTATATTTAGTAACTGGCAACCAAATCAATTCATTCATAAATCTCCCCATTCTGTTTATATTCCTAACGGCTTTGTAATTAATAAAAGAAAAGGTGTACAGAAAAAAGGAGCGAGGAAAAGATCCGGTTCCAGCGTCTTTTTCTTTTTAGCTTTGTTTGGGATACATTGTTGCTCTCCCTCCTGTTTGATTCGCTGCAGCTCGTTTCGCTCTCGCGATTCTTTAGTCTGCTCTGACACGTTTTCCTCCTTAGTGGGGGGGCATTGCAAACTCTTCTCCAAAATATTGTCCCACATTTGATTAAGTGTTTTGTTTAATTCCGCTTGCAAGGCTTTTTGAAAGGCTTTTTGGAAGTTATCGGATCTAAGCTCTTGTATTATTGAGTCCTGTATTATCTTGGACACAGAGGTCGTCTCCATTTTCTAAAAAGTTCACTTCCGGTTTCTCCGCGTGCATGCAATTAAGTAATTAAACAGTACACCTTCTAACACTTCTTCCACTTTTTGGTCACAGTATTAATAGCTTATAGTAGAACTCACAGGCATTTTTCCTTACCCCAGTCCTCTCTTCATTCGTTGCCCAGAATGGTTTATCGGCCGCTTCTCTTTTGCCGGAGGGGGAAGAAACCATCGGGGAAAAAAGGGGGTATTTGGTCCCGTCTTGCACTTCTGTAGGATCGCGTAATGTCCCTCGGGGTGGCGTGGCAGCATGGAAATAAACTTATAATCACCAAAAAGAAAGTGGTTTAAAAGCACGGCTGGTCGCTGCTTGACGGGAACATGGCGTCCATGTTCCCATTCTCGGTGACGCTCCTGCTTCGGGGCAAACCGGTCACCCCCCGTCCTTGCCAGGGAAACGGGGGGGCCGGTCAAGCCTCATGCTCTTGGTCTCCCTCCAGGAGACCAAGCGGGGCCACCTCGAACCTCGGGGGGCTCCGTAGAAGCACACGCGAGTCGGGCTGCCCTGGGAGCTCCCAAGGGACGCGCCCGTTGCGCAGCGCCGCACCGCCGGAAGTGAAGAAATCTAAGTATTAAAAGACATTCTCTTTGAAATAAGAAAGAAGAGGAGAAAATATAAAGACTTGGTCTTATTTCTACAAAAGTCATCCATCCCCTACAAATGGATTATACCAGAAGGCATCTTCTTCAAATACAATGATAAGAAAGGATTGACTCTGTCACAAAAGCTAAGGCCTTTTTGGAGCAGTTACAAAAACCAGAAAAGCCATTAAAGCCTCAAGAGGACAACAATGCAAACAAAGAAGATAACGAACAGAGAAGCCAGGGTGAAATCTTATCATCATCTACTGAAGAATATGACTCGGAATTAGGGGCGGCGCCCCCCAAAACTCCTAAAGCCAATCGAGACTATGATCTCAGAAAGAAGAAAGACAAGCATTAACTTTTATTTCTAGAAGCTGAACTTAATCCATACTTAATAGATTCTCGGATGTTCTTTATATAGTTAACTGCCATGGATATACTTTACTAATCTCTTTCATTGATATAGCACTGTTACAATACTAACATGTTAAAAAATTGTTGTAAGCATTATATGACCACCGCTTCTTGGGTTTTTAGTGGTTATCTTTACTTTCTCCCATAGTTTGTAGATACCCTTTCCTTATGATTTCTGTGTAGTTTTTAGAATAAAAGCAATACAAAATGTAAAAAAAAATTCATTGTGAAAATGTAGCAGCCATTATTTCTGTAACAGAAATGAATCCTTAAAAAAAGAGAGCAAATAATGGAAGAAGGTCACTATATGAAAAATCTAATAATTTAATAATTAGGTCACCTGTCTTTGACCAGGTACCCTTTCATAAGACTTCCCCATTTTATTGAGTATGTCCTAACTGCTTTCCAAGGCATTCATTTTTATATTGCTTTAATCATGTGGTTCCCTAAAGGTCCTGAAAGACTAATGGTGATCTCCTTTGGATTTAAAGCAACTTGAGGTTGGTGGGTGGTGGTTTCTGAGGAGATCATATGTATTTCTCCTGAGCAGATTTATCAGATACTATTAAATGCCTTAAAATGATCCAATATAAGCTTTTTGCTACTTTATTGGTGATCAGAGGAGACATTTGTTTTCACATCAGCCCTCCTCCCAGCAGTTTAAATCTCTTTCTGCTATTCTGTTGTTTTCTATTTCTTTTGAAGATTTCCTGCCCATACTTTTTCGCACTTCTACTGTTCCTTCATATCTGCTGCTTCTTTCTTAATGGTCTGCTCTCTGAATGGTCTTAATTGCCTGCTTTTGTGGATTTGTCCTCATTCTAATCCATTAGTTCCTTTATCCTCCAGGCATCTGGCCATGTGCTAGTGTTTGGTTTTCATTTAAAAGGGATCTAACATTTAACTGTTTAAAAGAAGCTGGTTTATATCATAAAAAGCTTTGTACTCGAGCATTTTTTTAAAACTTTGGGTTAAGGAATCTGTAGCTCTTCCTTCATCAGGCCAGCCACCCCAATCATCTTTACTTAGGATGTAAGGAACATGGATTCCAGTTTCCCTAATGACTCTTTTACATAACCTCTTTAATACAGTATGCACTGTTCTATGAGACTGTCAAATCCCTAAACATGTGGTAGTATTGGTGCACTAAGGGCAATATCAT